CAGAGACTCTGTGAACTGTCGCACGGCACAAATATGTGACAACTTCTGCTTCCACAGTCCTGCAGATGGACCGTGCACTTTTCCACAAGCACACTTTTAGCAGTGCGCGTGATTATCCCCACGTATAGCATGTATCCGAGCTCCAACATGAGGACCATCCATGATGTTAATGCATGGGTGCGAGCTGTCTGCTAGCGTCCCCCTCAGGCTGTAAGCACACCACAGCCGGCCATATGGAACAGCGTTATGGAAACTCGAGGGGGGCACAGATGGACGCATTCTGTCCATATTCTCCATGATGGGTCTAAATGGAGGCGCTGGAGAAGCGGCAGAGCTCAGAGGCGGGGGAGAGCACCACCGGATGGATGGAAGGAGATAAATGAGCCCTTCTGGATGCGTGACACTGATGGTGAGGAATGCTTTCATTTGAAAGTTACAGAGGAAATTCAATAGTGTTTGCGAGAGGTGACAAAGTCTGTAACAAGTGATTTAAAACAGAGAGCAGAGGAGAAGCAAAACCTCTGACTCACAGCCTTATCGTGGCGTTAGAGCCCGCCGGAATTAAAGTGGTTTAGGCCCCCAAAAAGTCTCTGCTGTTCCCTTAGGCTGGTAAAGCAACAACCATGTCCGAGTTCCCAATAAGAAGCTGCTCCCTTCATCTTTGAAATACGATCGTCATAAAAAGGCATGAGACACAATATGTGCGTTTTTCATTATTTTTTCTGACCAGTGCGTCTCATCCCGACCGACAGGCGAAAGCTGAGAGCCGCCCCCCCTCTGGAGAGCTCTGACACGGGATAAGCTGACTGAGTTCAGAGGCTGAGGCTCTGGTGGACGTCTGCCGGCAGCTTTGAAAGACCCTTACCACCATCCAGTCTCCCCTCCATCTCCTCAAAGGTGTTCCCCTACCTGGGACTATCTGGAACTGTGTGAGGTCCCTTCATCATCCCAGTCCCCCAGAAGCGCCCCCCCACCCCCCAGACTGTGACCACAGCCGGCTGCCCTAAAGGTTTGTGGTGGTGAAATCCTTGCTCAGCCAATCCGAAGCCAATTCCCTGTACGTGAAAACATACTTGGCCCATAAAGTGGATGTAATCAGGACTTCTCTGCCCTAAGGGTTAGGGTTAGGGTTAGTGTGAACTACTCAGATCAGATCTTTTCAGAAAGCATAGTTTATGAGTGATTTAAGCTCCATAGAGGCCAAACTGGACGGGTCTTATGGGAACAGAAATGACTATCGAGGGCAGAAACGCTCCTGCTCCAAAGCCAAAGAAAAACAGAGAGCCTTTGGGCCAAATATCATGAGACTGAAGACTCAAACAAACACACGTGTGACCCGTCTGGACCCCAAACACTGAGCACACTCGCTACATGTGACATCACTGTCTCCTCCCCTACACATGAGGGACACGTTCAGGTTCACTGGCCCTTCAGAGTGGATATCACATAGGGGTGGCCTTTATTTGAAAACATGAACGATCACCCAAAATGAAAAGAAAGCCGTTTCACAAAAACTGGGATTTGGGTCCCTTCCGGCTGCAGGGTGAAGGCCGGCTTTGCTTTGTGAGAGGACGTGTCGGGGGGGCTTTGCTTTGCGGGCCTAAAGCAGAAAGGTTATCGGCCGGGTGTATTTTGATTCGATGTCTTAGAGGTTGGTGGTTTGTTTAAAGCACTTTGCATTGTGGCGTTGGATGATAATATCTGTGCAGAGTTAAGTCTCCAGCAATCACATCCACCGACAGCCCCCCCAGACCCCTTTTCTCTCCAAAACTAGCTCTGTCAACTGGCTCTCAGCCTCTCAATGAATGAGTGAGCGGCTTCAGAACGGGATCTGCTGTCTGTCAGATATGACTGATTAAGCCTCACGCGCAGACACACAATCCCGATGTGACTCGCAGCCTCAGACTTGTAAACACACAAAGTATCTGATGGATCTTATCTGAGTCTCACCGACCGGTGACCGTAAGCACCCGTCAAACACAATCCACAGAGAAAGAACGCACACACAAAACTAAATCGCCTCACACAGGCTGTGTGAAGCCTATGATCACACATAAAAACGAGCCTTCTCAACATGGACAGATGCAATCCCAAGGAAAGCAACTGTTTGGAAATGAATTCATTTTTTACTGATTTATTGTCAATTTTCTAGCACAACGCTCGTGTTTGCCACACGATGCTGAACTGTGAGGGCCTCTCAGGGAGAGGTTTATGGTGGCTCACGCACATTAGACAACCCTTATAGTCATTCTGTCCAGAATAATACAATTTCCCGTCTGCAGGGATGCAGTGCAGCCTCAGCCTGCACCCAGATATACCCATGTACGCACAGAGGTGCAACAGGTCTGGATCCCGCATGGCAGCCTGGAGCTGACCAGGGAAGTAGCCTCTGGATGCAGCCAGTAGGAAGCCAAGGATGGATATCAAACTCCTGCCACATCCAAGTCGGCCATTTTTATTAGGTAGTATGACTAGCGGCTTTCTCAGGTGGAAACGAAACTTTACTGTCCATACGAAATCCTAATAACCCTAACCCTAACACTAACCCTAAACCTAACCCTAACCCTCCACCCTTCATAATTGTGAGAAATAAATATTTTTGGTTAAACTTGTTTGGACTTATTGTACAAACCTATTTAAAATAACATTTTAACATCATATTATGGATAGAGTTTAATTCAGCGTTTGCAAGATTCATTTCACTAGTTTTAAATTAATGTCTATATTACCATGAGGATCTTCCTACTGGTGACCTAATCAAAATGTCCGACTTGGATGTGGGCGGAGTTGGATATCCATCCTTGGGTTCCTGCAGTCTACAGCCAGAAGGACTTGGACCGGGCGGCCTCACGCTCAAATCTGGGTCCGGTCATATCTGACCAACTGAAAACTCCAGACATGGGATCTCAGGATTGGCTCGTTGGCATGAAGTATTTTTAAGAAGCATCCTTCAGAGGAATGTGGCTCTATTGGATGTTTTCAAACTCAAATCGGTGCAGGCAGCAAAGCAATGCTAAGGACGCCATTTTAGGATTTTGCCAAGATGCAGCCAAAAATATATAATGGAATACTTGGTGTAGCTTATTAAAGTTCAGAAAGCGGTCAGTGCAGACAGCTCTGACCTGTAAAAAGAAGCTTAAAAACCACAGTATGAGTATTAAACAGCCACCGAAATATATACAGAGAAAGATAAAATAAACATGAAAGCAGGAACCCAGATTGTTCATAAAATTGAAACATTTAAGTTTTTTTTCTTAAGAAAAAAGCTCCTTTGCCACAAGAAAGGAGCTCCCAACCTGCTGTGTGACACCAAGAAGATTCTTAGTACTACCAGATACGCAGGCAAAGCCCAGCAGAAGCCCAAAGTCAAGAAGAGACGCTTGAAGAAGAGACATTTTAACATATTTCTATGTTTTTAATCCATATTTTTAAGCTACCTAATTGATACATTTGAGCTAAGAAGGCATTAAAAAAATATTAGGCAAGTTAAAAGAAGACGAAGAAAGTTAAAAGAAGAAGAAAGTTAAGATAACAGACAATCTTACAATCATAATTACCAGGACACACTGGTCCCAGACCCCCCCGGCCCCCGTCAGACCGCCTTCCCACGACCTGCTCAAGGTGAGCCACAGAAACGGTGTGACACCCACAAGGGCAGCTGGAGACCCGAGTGTGTGTGTGTGTGTGTGTGTGTGTGTGTGTGTGTGTGTGTGTGTGTGTGTGTGAGTCAACGGGTGAACGCGTGATCAGGTGCTAACCAATTAAACCCCCCCGTTATCACTCACACACTCCGAGACAGCTTCACTCCGCAGCTCTCACAGAGCAGCACATTACTCCGACCATGGATTTAAATCTTTCCGCTAACTGCTGGCTGGTGTGTGTGTGTGTGTGTGTGTGTGTGAGTGTGTGTGTGATGACAACACAGGCGTAAATCTTCTGAGAGCTCGCGCGCCTCACACACAGAGGTCACATGAGCTAGCCATTCTGAAGGGGTGGACGCGGGGGCCGGTTCCTTCCAGCAGCTGGAGGACGGGGGTGAAGGGGAAAGCCGGTAACCACGCGGTGACCGCATCGGTCATCAGAACCGGACCGCAAATCAAATCCATGCTGACGCTGATGGATAAGTGCTCAACAGACAATGGGCCTTAATGCCGATGGCGAGGCCACAGAGAGCTGGGACTCCAGGCTTTCAAATCAGCAGATCAGGCAGGAAATGAAGCCGTCTCTGCCGTTGTGCCGGGCCAGTAATGAGCTACAGAATGAGACTGACAGGCCTTCAAGGGTTCCAGTGGAGACCTTTTCAAATTGTATTTGCAGAAAGTGGGCATCTTTGGGCGACTGCTCTCTTAGCTGGTGTGAAAATTCTCTGTGAATTATTTGGAAATCAATTCTTTTCTTGGGTGGTATTTAAAGAACAAATCGTGTTATGAGTCAAGAATTTAACTGACAACTGAAGCCTCAAGTATTATTGGGTTTTATCCAAACCATGGTCTGTCTCCTCTTTATTAAAAATTGTGAGCAAATGTCATTCAAACGTTTTGTAAGAATGTGATCTGGATGTGTTTGAGGGTGGTGTTTCTGGATGCAAATCCAGCCACAGCCCTAAAGATTTGGGATTCTTCAGATTTTCTTTTGAGGTCACAGTGAAAATTCCCAATAAAATCCCAATAAAACACTAATAAAGTACCAATATGTTCATGCAGTTTACTGGAGAGGAATCCAGTAATTGATTCATTTTAGAGACTTCATCATTTAATTAATCCATTCCAAACAGTGTACTCACTCAGACATTTAATGTGACCATTCGTCATCTCAGTGAATCCAGGATGAGGTGGACTTTACAACATTTAATACTAATGAACGGTTTCACACAGGAAGGTCTCAGGTGCAGATGTGTTTTCTTAATTAAGAGCCACGCTCCACCAAGACGGCAGGCTCCATCCTTTATTATTCTCATAATTAACCCTTTCACTTTCACCCCAGGTTTCATTTCAGTCCCTGCGTTCTCCTAAAATCATTCTTCCATATTGTGCCATTAAGTTACCTCATGCTGTCACCCCATCATGCTCTCATTCAGAGTTGCTATTAACCCCATATTTATCTTTATTTTAGCGTCTCTTCCACTGTTCTTTAATAACCGCCATCCCTCCATTGTACGTTTTCTTCACTCTAGTAATTAACCCTTTCCTCTCTCCCGTGTCCTGCTTTCCCTCCAGTGCACGTATAAATTGGACCAAACTGTTTCACGCTCATCGTCTTGACACGCTCGTTTTTGTCATTTCTGTCTCTGATTTTCTGTCATCCGCCCGCCCTCTCACAAATCCTATTACACAATTAACCCCCCTGGATCCTGGATAAGGCCCAATATGTGTATCGAGTCTGAGTCCCGTCTGTAAGTGCCTAGGACAGAGGAAGCCTCCTCACACATATGCCCGGACTCCAAGGTGTGACTGAGAAATGATTGGATTCATTAAAGGAAAGGGTGAGGCAAGAGGTACATGGCAAAGGGAGAGGAAGGGGGTGACAAGGAAGATAGAGGCCAAATCATTACTAAATACTTGCAGAGAACTCAGACCACGGAAAGGGACGAGATGTATTTGAGAGATAAGGAGACCAAGAGGAGCCAGGAAAGGAAAGGAGTGGGGGAAGGCAGGAGAGAGAGATGGGTATTAACTAGCGGCATTAACGGACTGACAGGCCCCGTTATCTCAAACAGAAAGACGGTGCAAAGGCAGGGGAAGTGAGGACACGCTGAAAGGCAGCCCAGAGAGCCGGGAAAGATTCGAGCACTTAGGTTCATTACAGCCAGATCTCACTGTTGTCTCCTCTTCATCCTCTTCATCATAATGAGCTGCCTCTCAGTGTAACAGAGATAATGATACATTAGCCAACGGAGGATGACCCTCCGCAGAGATCTTTCTTTTAACTGGAAGAAAACGCAGACTGAACCATACTGAACCGGTTTTATTTTCATTTTACTTTCTCACTTTGAATACAGTAACACTTCTTCCTCTTTTTTTTTTTTTTTTTAATTTTTTGATGTAGTAAATTCACACCTGTAACTGAATTCAGGTAAATGTTGCTGTGTGGAAAATGTATACAAATTTTTTTATTAACTTATTTTTTTATTCGTTTATGTCTGTTTATGATTTTATAGTTCTGCCAAAAAGAATATTGAAAAAATTAATTTATTTGCAGTTGAAAGGTCCAAGGTTTCTAAATTTGTCTTGTAGCAAGAAAAAAGCAGCGACTATTTTCACCCTATGACGCTATATGTCTTATTTGTTAGACAGGGATTCTGAACTGCATCTGAGACCTTTTGCTCAAAACCCTGTTTTACACAATCAGATACACCTGATAACAGCAGGAAGAGGACTACACCACAATAAATGTTGACAAATCGCATGGTGAAAAATGGTGAATATTAAAGAATAAATGTGTTTTTCATATTTTGCTACTTGTTTGTCCAAGTAAAACCTGAAATTAGGCTTTACATTAACATGAGTTAAAGAGGAGACAACTAATACACAGCAGGCACAATAAGGAAGTTTAAGGTGTTTGAGGTCACTGATGAGTTTGGATCTCAACTGAAAACACAGACAGACGGACATTAGCAAGACACTGCTTCAGGAGCCGCTAAGAGCTCTGAGACTGCGTGGACAGAGAGAGACTGCAGGCAGAAGTGAAAATGCAGGACCGGTTAAAAATAGACAGTGTGATCTTAAACACATCACGCAGATGTTCGACTGCTGGCTGGATGTTTCTGTCCACGATGTTACTGACAGACCACCAACGTCCACCCTTCCCCACAGCTTCACCTGCGTGGTTGCTAAGCTACAAAAACAACACTCAAATCAAGAGATTTGTACACACCTCTCACTTTGCTTTGATTTCATACTGCAGTATTCAGTTTCCCTTCAGGGATTAATAGAGTTTTATTTAAAAAATTGAGTGACTGGATTAAAAAAAGTTACTCCTTCATAAAAACACTGAAATCAAAAGGTTTAAAGAATGGCTGGTCAGGCATTCCAGTATCATTTTATCATTTCTGGTCTGTCAGTGTGAGTTTTTTTTTTTACATAAAACAACTTCAGTGAACAAACTATCTAACTAACAAACTGTCTTTTTGTATAGTTTAAATATGTAACAAAGATAAGCAACTGAGAAGCCAAATACCTGGTTCTTTTTTAATTAGATTGAACCAATTAACTAACTTTATGATCCTCTCATCCATTTATCTGTGTGTACATCTGCTCTCACGCGTGCACACACCCAGTCACAAAGAAAAGGACACACATTTAGCAGATGGCTGCTGGTTAAAAGAGTGTGAATGATCAAATCTGCCCACTATTCCACTACCTTGTCCATTATTCCACTCCACTGCTTTTGAAGAGTGCAGCGTGTGTGTGTGTGTGTATGTGTGTGTGCGTGTGTGTGGAGGCAGAGATATATCTGTGGACACTCAGCGTGCACCATGGATCTGCCTGTTAGCCAAATAATTCAATTACCGCTAACGTATCATAAATTAACAATATTCAAATTAAAAACATTAAAAACAGCCATTTAATTTTTGCTGTCTCCTACTTTTATTGTTTGTGCCCATTATGTGTGACGGGTTGCAGGCAATCACGCTAATGGAGCGGAGCAGAGCTATTCACCAGTGCTGCCCATCTGGGCATGTTACGGCCGCGCACGTGAAACATGCCGACGTGACGTTAAAGACTGGGTTTAAAGAGCTGGCCCTCCCATGGCTGATGGGCTGTCTGTTTGTGTGTGTGTGTGGGGGGGGTGCAGAGTGGGAGCCATAACAACGGCTGCATTTTCAGAGGACAATTGACTGAAATCACACGCAAATAAAAAATTGCACTGTAATTATCTCACACACTTTAAAAGGACATAGGACACAGACCTCCGTCAAATTATCAAATTACCCCCCAGCTGAAGCCCGTATGATACAACGCCCGTCTGAACCTCCATCCTAATGCTGTCATGGCTCTATCCTAATTTAAGATAAATGTCTCCTTTAATCTTTGAGCCAAGCGAGAGGAGAGGCAACATGATGTGATCTGAGAGGTAGAAAACCTAAAGAGCTTCGTTCTGGACCCACTACAGTTTGCCTCCCGCCCAAGCAGGTCAACAGATGACGCCACACAGCCCTCATGCTCCACAAACCCCCCCCACCTCGGGGTGGACAACGGACAGGTGAGAGGGCAGTTTGTGCCACCTGAGAACTCCTCCCTGTGTCGGTGGGTGCACTGCCAGCCACTCTGCCTCAGCGGGTCAGAGCTGGAGGGAGTGGGCAGTGTTGGTGATCTCACTGTGACATTCACACAGGACGTGGTCACTTCACACCCCGGCACAGAGAGCCAGACGCTGAGCCCGTCACCCCCCACTCCCACTCACATTCCCACCTGCTGAGTGGGAGTGTCTCCACCCAGATGGGCGGTGGCACCGTCAGGGCCCTCAAAGCAGGGGCCGGTTCATTTAGGCTGACCATCAGATCCAATCCCCAGTCTGGAGGACATTGCTACAGGTCAAGGGCTGGAAGCTTCTCTAGCAGCCCGGCCATCTTGGAATCTCCCTCTCCTGCTACCGGTGCCTGAAATCTGACGCTCAGAGGATGAAGAAGACTTTCTCCCCCAGGCCATCCGTCTGCTCAACTCTGAACTTTAAACTAGTTTCTTTCTGGCTTTGCAACACACTCAGGCACCATTAAATTATATAGCAGTGTCCAGGTTGCTTTAACTGAGCCAAATATGTACAGAAACCTTTTGGAAAACCTCTTATTCAACAATACTTTTTATTTTAATTTATATATATATACGTGTGTATATATGTATGTCTATAGAGATTTTATGTATGTTTGAGTAAGCAGTAGTTTCTCAAAAAATACGAAATAAAAGCAAACATCCATTTAAAATCTCTCAACATATTTCTTACATGATCAAATCCACACCTTCTACAGGTAGTAGTTTTCAAATGCATCTCATTAACCATGGAGTTGTCATTGGAGATTCAGATTCACTCTCGCTACATGATGATGCATCGCTCTTCACACTCACTCACTTAGTAATGATGTGGACTTTCAACACTGTTGACATGGCAACAAATGCTTAGTCTGAGGAAAAAAGGGGTTGTGTGAGGTACGTTTTGCATGTGGGAGAAAAGTCTAACATCACCTGAACACAAAGTTTTCCACAGTTGTTTCCACTCTCCTGCTTTACTCATAACTGTCAGATTTCCGCATTTAAAACGGGTGTGTGGTTTACATTTAGATGTAAATATACTGAATACATAAGATGAACAAATTCAAATAGAGAACAAAATATATTCAGACCCGCAGCAAAACCTGTATTTGGACATCCACTTGGAAATAAAACTGATACCAATTGTTTAGTTTTTGAAAGTCGCCACAGTTATTTCCCAAAACACAGTTTTAATTGATCTATGGGATTAAAACAACATATTATCTAAACACGTTATTAAGGAAGTATTCTACAATGTTCTACAAACTTTAAAGGTGGCATATTCTAAAGGATTTTTCCCACCACGACAGGTGTACTGGACCCATTCGTCCACAAAGACTCTGAAATAACACCAGCAATGTAAAGGAAGAGATGAAACTCCCTCGTTTCGATTGGAATATAACTCATAGCAAGGTCGAAACGCACACAAAAAGCAGCATGCAACCTTAATGAACTCTAAACACTCGTTTTTATGCCATACCAGCATCACGACTGTTTCTATTTCCAGTCGGGAGCACCAGAGCAGCCGGCGGAAAACAATCATCTGGAGTTCATCAAAAACAGTTACGGCTCCTAATGTGTCGTTTTCCCATTCAATATAGAAAAGAGGAAGTTCACTTTGAATTGAACTCTCCTTCTTTGGTTCAGGCTGGTTTTTATACAGCATTTTGCCATCAGCCTGTGGCCTCAGTAAAGCAGGCGGACGTTTCCACAGAGTCCTGTTGGTATGATAAAATGTCATTTTAAACCAAGTGTCTACATCAATAGTGTCGAACGTAATGAGGGAATTATTCAAACCAGGCTCTCTGATTAGGCAGCCATTCCCATGCTGATGTGCTCATTACTTCTCCTGTACAGTTTACCGTCCCCACGAACATGAAAAGTCTGCCCATCAGCGGTGAATAACACCAGCTGCTGCGGCAAACACAGCCAGGATTTATCTCCGTCTCCTCGGTGGATAGAGCCTGCACACATATTAACATAACCACCGAACACGTTAGTTCTGCGTACAGATAAATCAGCTCAGAACGGCCGTGTTTTCCATTCGTTGGGGGGGGGCTGGTTTTGAAAGCGGCCTACATGCGGGCTGCTCGGAGTCGTTAGGTCGATCTCGTGTGGATGTAAGTGTGATGTTGCGTCTGCATTGTGAGTCGCTTTGTGAGTTGTTGTCAGTCTGCTGAATGCATAAACATGAACATTACCGGGGGCAAAGCCAGTGGACGGTTAAAGCCCGCCTGTGGAACCTCAGCTTCTGAGGAAGCTATGAAGATGTCGTGTTTGGAGCAGAAGAAGGGAAAGAGAGAGGACATGGAGAAGGACTGCCACTAGCCAGGCTGGAAGGCAACGGGGGGGCAGAGGTTCTGCACCACAGAGGAAAGAAACGGGAGGCTGTCTATGTAAAGATGATAGAAATGGACAATCTTATTAGTTACAATTACTTACAATTGAATGATCTAGAGATCGGCAATTCATTGGTTTTCTTCTTAGTTAAAAAAAGTTAATGAGAAAAAAATAATATTGTATTTAGAATGCTTTTTCTATGCAGTGCTCTGTGCTGTAAAGTAAAAATGCTGTTTGCCGTTTTAATAGGTTGAACTCTCTTACTGTAAGTTTTAAGTGGAGATGAACGACCTGCCTCCGGTTGCTAACGCCTCGTCTGGCCTGTGTGAGGAACGCGTTGCTCTCGTGTTCGTCCATTACAACATTGGATTTGACTGAGCTACATTGTGTCCGTGTTGTATTTCTATTTTCCCCTTTTTACAGGTGAGAACGAGAGTTGTTTTATGTTTGAATGGTTTATGAATGCATTCATATTGTTCAGTAATGCGGAGAGTAAATATTGATTCATAACTACTATCTGACAGAAGGTGATGTTTTAGCATAGCTTCGTGCTAACTGTGTTGGGCGGTGTATTGCTAAGGGGTGGATGAAATGGAACGATTGTATTTGTTTTATATGGTAAGAACACAATAAAAGTGCTGTTTTGGATTATTGTTCAGACAATGTTGTGGTAAAAGAGAAATGACATTTGTAATGATGGAAAAACATGTTTTGCTCTCGTGTTCGTCCATTACAACTTTGGCTTTGACTGAGCTACATGGTGTCCGTGTTGTATTTCTATTTTCCCCTTTTCACAGGGGTCTAACATCTACAGCAGAGAGGGGCTGATGTGTGGCACGGTGCTGCTGGGGTTCAGGCTGAAACCTGGTCAGGCTCAGCTGGGCTGCCCACACATGATGTTCCCCCCCGAAACACCCAATGATCTCTGGATACACTACTGATGATGTACCCTTTAATGATAGATCATAATAATATGAGCATAACAGCAGAGTTCTTCTCTGTGGGAAGGGGTTGGATTACCAGACTAAGGGAGCAAAGCCAACTGTAGCAGATCGTTCTGATCAAAATGCAGCCTGAGGCAAAGCATCGATAAGCCTTTAGTGGAGAGGATGACACGCCCCCCCCACCCCGCCCCCGTGTGTGGAAGCAGATAGAATGACTTGGTGCCAATCAAATCAAAAGCTCGGATTAAGTGAGTTAGTTTCATCCAGACATCGAACACTGAAGGTGTCCCAAGCACTCATTAGCTGTTTTAGTATTTACAGATCTTTGTTTTCTTATCTTCAAGGCCTACAAACCATCTAAAACTCCCCCCCACCTCCTCTTTGATTCTCCCTTTTCCCTTCTTACCAGCTCAGCCATATCATTTTGAGGAAGGAAATACAAGCCAGTCAGAACTGAGAATATTAGGCCCTGTTGGAGGGGTTATTATGCATAATGCCCCATAATCCCCCCCCTCCCCTACACTTTTCATCATACATTACGTGGACGTTAAATCTGTGCAGTCTGTGCAGACTGATAGAAAGTTCACACATCCACACACCAATCCAGACTCAGGGCGTTGATAAGTGGAGATGATGCTGTTGTAATGTGCTTATTCAAAGCTGCTTGTTCTGCGGTGACACGATAATGAAGACAATAGACACCAGACAGTGTACCACTGCATTATTACACACACTGATTGGCTCGTCCAACTCTGTGCGTGAGCGTGTATGTGTGTGTGCCCGACATGTCAGCATTAATTGAACCATGACCCAGATCAAAACAATGAGACTTGAAAGGGATTAGAAAAAACACCATATGAAATACTGAAGAGCCATCATTTGTGTGGGTGGCCTCAGACACGCTCCGCATTTATTCACCAAATTTTAATCCCAGACAATTTCACAACAGACAGACATCGAACCAATCCCAGGGCTCAGGTTGCACCTCGGTGTTCAGGTTAATATTCGTCTTTGCGTTGTGGTAAATGTTAATGATACTTCATATCCATTTCAACTGGACGTTTGTCAGCACTTTAACTTTAAGCTTATCCTTTCTTTTGTTTTTTGTTGAGGATTTAGTAGATAAATACTTAGAAATGTGTGGTTGAAGCGTCTTTTTCTTTCTGCTGGTTGTGCCCTCCATTTTCAATCTGCTCCCACATAAACAGGCCACATTTCAGCCCTGACTAATTCGGCCTCAGAGAGGCTGCTCTGTTATCTCTCGCTCTCAGGACTGGCTGGAATTGACCCCAGACTCGGTTGGAGAGCTGCTTTATTCAAGAAGTGCTTTTTCTCTTTCTGTCAACTTTGCTTTGCTATGGTTTCAGATTCGATGTTATATTATCTTAACCAATGAAAACATACGCCAATCACTCCCGACTTATCTGGTGATGCCATCTGTACGAGTACCAGACCTTATCCCCGACTACCAGCCTAAAAGCAGACCAGGAAGTCCTGGTCTCTCTCTTAATACTCCCATTGGAAAAGTCCATCACACAGCATGTTTACAGCAGTCAGTCTATCACAATAAAGGTCTTAATCTGTGGTACCCATCGTCCCGGTGACCATCGCCACGGTGACCTCATCCTGAGAATCCTTTGATAAAACGACGTGCAGACTTTGTTTGAAGCTTTAAATTGTGACACCCATGATAAAGTCCATGATTACAGTTTGATATGGAGTGAAACGGAATATCTGAGAGGAGTCTGGCTTCAGTTCCCACCATCCCCGCTTTCCTCCGTCTCCACAGCCAGCGTAGGCCTGGCTCACAGGGACCACGCAGTCCTCTGTCTATCCTTCTTTCTAAAGCAAAACCTTAGCGTGGAAAGTGAAGTACTCCAGATTCAAACTGATCTGAGTCGTAAAAGTGGTCATGCATAAAAGAAAAGATTTGTTTAGTTTAGAGATGTTTCAGTATCAATGCATTTATTTTAGATTTCTCTACCGTCTGGAAACCT